TCCCTAAGCACCACGTCTACCCGTCTTTTAAATACCTCCAGGGATGGAGACTCAAGCACTTCCCTGGGCAGCCTGGTCCAGTGCCTGACTGCCCTTTCCCTATTAATGCACCATCAAGGGCTTTCAACAGAAACAATGTGGCAGCGGGGCAGGGAGAATATACTGGGATCATTTCTTTTTGAAGAACTGTGGAGTGCTTCAGAAACAGCTTCTACACCTCCGGTGAAGTTAAAAAATATTTGCCATCAGAATTTGGGAATGACAGAAGAAAGCCAACGTGTCGCACAGAGCATAAGTGGAATAAGGCAATTATTTCTATTTTTACAAAATAAGTGTCATAGAACTGTTAACACTTGTGAGAAATAGACACTACTGAACCAAAAGAAGTAGATTCAGTGCTGAGGAAATACAATGTTTGACACCAATGACTCAAGACATGTACATGGTGTTCGATACAGCTTTTTCTACTCCTTTTCTATTTTTTCTATTATTTCCTTCTATTCCTTTTTCTGGCCATGTGAGATTGGTTCTGCAATGGTTCTAGTTTCCTTCTGCTCTCTCACATCACGTACAAGTCAACCCTAAAGACACCATGCCACAGCAAAAGTTTTTGGAGGGCACTTACCAGCATGAAAGAAGAGAAGATAGAAGACATTTCTGGAAGTCTTCATGGTGAAAATTTTGAGATTTGTGCTTTTTCCAGCCTTCAGAACCCCCAGAGATCAAGGCTTCTCAGGTGTGCTCTCCCCAGCCTGCTCCTTGGTGAAAATCAGCAGCATTCAATTGTAGGTGCACTTTGTTCAACAATTTATCTTGCTTACCTTGGCACACGTCACCTCGTAACGACTACGGGGAAAAAAAGCCTACCTCTCTCCACACCGCCTCTACACTTGAAAAAAAATTCAGACTAGGAAATTGCAAAATACCTGAGGCACCAATGAGGTTGTTACTGCTTTAGCACCACCTATAGACTTAGATAAACAGCTACACACAAACTCACGGGGTAAGGCAGGGCTGTGTAAAGAAAACCTCATTTTAAGTGTGAGTTCTCTGTATCCCCTGTGTGTTGGGGCTCAGGAAGCAAAAGTAGATTCAAGCTAAGCACTTTATCTGACAGAGCTGATGGTCACTTTTTTTGCCACGTTGTCAGTGTTGTCATGAATCCCATAAAACCATAACAAGAAACCCAGGCTTTTACAATAGTGAAGCCACTGGCCACAATAACCTCTTGGGCCCTCTGATGCTTGCAGAAAGGCTTATGCGCATATATATATATATTTTTATATAGATAGATAGATAGATGGATAGATAGATGACAAGACTGATGCACAGTCCTATACTCTACAGGCGGTACAGTGCATGCTAAGTGCCCATCTCCTGAAATTTGACAGCAAGTGCTATGAAATAGCTGAAGTAGTTTGATTTTTTTTTTTGTTAAGGTTTTAGAGAAGCCCCAGGAAGGCTTCTCTCTCCCAGAAAGAGTAAAAACTCTGCTGACAATAGCTCTGTTAAAAGCTGCTGTGACTTTCAGTCTAGCTTTCACAGAGCAACACTCATTTGTGCTGCCCTTTTCTTCATTTCTCATTAGTCAATGAACTGCAGCTGCCTGTAACACTTTGTTTAGATGAAAGCCATTTAGTGCTGCTTTGCTCTGCTGCCTGCCATTTCTCAGCTCAGCACCCAGCTACCAGAAAAAGAACGGCTGTGTACCGCCGTGAATCCCCATGCACACGTCTTTACTATCTTCTACTGAGAGCATGCACGAACAACACAAGCGTATGCATCCTTCAGATAGCCTATACATCCAGTAGTGTTGCATGGATGCTTTCAGGAGTTAGCTACTTAGCTACCTGACAGCAATTTGGCCAGGCTGCTAGCTTTAATACCTACTAGCACCTGTAAGATAAGAGCTGAGTGTAAGTCAATTAATTGTTATTTCAAGTGTAGAACTTCAAAAAACAGAGCATGACCCCTCCAGACCTTCTTCTTAAAACCTTATGGCTGAACTCTGATTCTGGCTACCTAGACGATCTGGAATTAGTTGTCCCTTTGTTGTCTAAAGTGCTACAGAACGACCTGGCACCACTGGAGTCCTTCCAAATTTCTGGAAGGATCCATTATTCAGAGCCCTCCTGTGCCCTTCCCACTGGCCACAATAACCTCTTGGGCCCTCTGATGCTTGCAGAAAGGCTTACGCGCATATATATATATATATTTTTTTTTTTTTTATATATAGATAGATAGATAGATAGATGGATAGATAGATGACAAGACTGATGCACAGTCCTAGCACCAGTTGCTTAAGTCTGCAAGGGCAAGATGAATAAAAAATGCATTTGGTACCAGGCCTCTCCTGTGATTCTTCTGATCCTTTACGAGAAAGTTTCAGAAGGCAGAGGAGCAGCTTTTTTGTACAGGAGGCCTATTCTGAATGCAGCCCCCTGTAAACCATCACACAAGCACAGCTCATGATAATTTAGCTCATTTTCCTATTTTATTCATAATTCTATGAATATCTATGCTTTAAGGAAATATTGAATTTCTTAACCTGATTTTCAGCATAATTTCGCAAAAATGCCCACAAAGGAAATAATTAATATAACTTAATAATAAAGAGCACCAAATACTTCATCAAGCATGCTTCTGTACAGCAGTTACAAATAGTTGGGTTAGCAGGCGGGAAAGAAAACCCATGGTGCCTCTACTGGGCCAGCAAAAGTAGGGTGGTAAAACATCAGTGTAACACCACCTGGATTTCCTAATTACTCTAGTTGTTAAATTGGAAGCCTTAAGACAAGTACACATATTGTAAAATGTATCTTTAAAATACAGAAAGTAAAAGGTACCCAAGAATCAAAGATATATCAGTACCCAATACTGGAAAAATGAGAAACAGCAATTAATGCAAAAACCTAAAAATTACAAGATAAAACAAGTCAACTAGGAGCATCAGGGCTGCCAGAATCAACTTTTCTGCCAGGGCTCAAGGGCAACATCTGAAACAAATAAAATAAAAAATGCAAAGAAGATACCCCAGAGTCCTTTGGATTTTCTTGATCCGAGACTGGTTTTCACTCTAGTGTGACAACCGTCCAAGGTAAGTACTGGGGACTTCAGTCTGAGTGTAGTATTTGGTGACACCAGGACAAATGCCTGGGAGAAAAGTTCTGTAACTCTCTTTCTGATGGGTTAAAAAAAAAAGAGGTAGGAAAAATAAAAATGTATACAATGTAGAGATCTCATATGTTATTTTGGTTTGCAGATTTGATAGCTGAGATTAAAAAAAAAAAAAAAAAGGATCTAAAAGTTGGTCCGTTTTAAGATGTCTCACTATACACCTCAAATAATCAGTGACTTTCAAAGAGTTAGACTATAGTGAACTTTTAGCTCCTTTAAAAATTTGTGACATTATTTATCAAAGTTGCATCAATCTTCCATAGACAGAAGGAGCCTCAGAAAGACAGAACACCTATTTCACACATCTAGAAAAACAAAAATTATTTTGGGCCGTACACCAGCAGCTTACACTTACGGTAAGTTTTATAAGCATGCCACGTAACACCAGCGATATTTGTGTCCCAAGTTTAAAACTGCATTTAATGTAATAACTTCACTGGCCCCGATCTGGTCACCAGTGCTCCTCTAACACATTATTTTCATTTACAGTCCGAATCAATTATTTTAAAATGCTACAACATCTGTTCTTCTTTTGATTAAAAACACACTTGACAAATATGTTGTACAATAAAGTTTATTAGCTGTTCTCCTCTTTCTAACAAATGGAATGGATAGTGTTGATAGTTCTTTACAAACCAAAGCTAATTTGGTTGTGTGACTGCCCCGTGACTGCTGTAAGTACATCTCTCTCATAAACAATCAGTTTCAAATAAGCAATGGCAGGCACCAAATAATAGGGGAATTAGAGAATTTCATTACTGAAGGTAGTTCCATGTTTTGGTACAATGTATTCATAACATTCAGCACAGAAGTTTGTGCGTTGCCAATGGAAGATCTGTGGCTATGCAATCCAAGATGAACACGTACAGAAAAATAAAATGCATTGTTGACTCTGAATTCTCCCTTTGGTTAAGACATGCATAGTACAAAGGGGGGAAGGGGGAGACAAACACCTGAAATTCCGTAGAAAAGAGGAGAACTTGCACGTATTTTTTTTTCTTGTAACTAATATTCCCTGGACTTTATGCCCAGCCACCATAGCCCATTTGATTTCTTGTGATTAAGGAAGGTAAATTCTAATTTGTATTTTTATTTAAAACAAAAAGCTAGGAGTAGGTGGTAAAAGAAAAATATATATTTTATATATATATTTATATGTGTGCGCAACTATGTAAAGAAAATAATTCCCATAGTTACAGAGTTTAGTTAAAGAAAGTTTAATATATATATATTTATTATAACAAAATAGGCAGTTATTGTGGGTAAAATAGTCATTAAAATCTGACCCCTAAGAACACACACATTTTTAGGCTATGAATCACTCTCTCATTGCCCTAATGACCATCTCTGCAGCTGTTTTCTGTATTACTGCCAATGGAAATTTGGCATTCCTCTGAAAAATACAAGGTTTCCTAGCACCTAAACATATTTCAGGCTCAAAAAATGTGATGACCATTATCTATAAACAATTTCTGTAAGACACTATAAATAGTGTTTTATGAGGAAGATTAAAAACATTACACATCTTTGTCCCTAGCAATTTTACTGGCAAAAAATGAAAAAATAGATTATAAGAATATCCATATGAAATTATGAAAATGAATATCCCTTGAGGAGTAGTAATGGGAGTTAATGAAAATGTTAACTCAGAATTTGAAAGTTTCTCTCTAACTGCCTGGAAAGAAAAAAAAAAAAAAAACAAAACAAAAAAACCAAACAAAAAACCCAAACCAAAACAACTGTGAGAGTAGAATTTAACTCGGAAAATAAAACCCGAAATTGATTGCCCTGACCAAACCATGCTATTAAAGCTAAGCGTGCAAAGTTACTCATGATTTACAACTTCCTTGAATACAACTTTTCTTTCAGTTGTTATGAAATTTTAAAAGAATGTCTATAAAGCTTTTTTGAAAAATCTTTGAAAGTTACTTTCCCTTAAACATTAAGGAATTTTACCAAGCAATTCCCTCCCACCCCCACCCCAAACTAATAGCTGGTCAGGCCATTCCACTGTCATGTTAGAAAAATGGCAAACCAACAACACACAATACAAATTATTTAAACTAAGAGAGACACCAAATGTAAAGCATCATGGGAACTGCAGAATGTGATGGTTAGGGTATGAACCACGCTGGAAAGAACTAGAGGCAGGCTCCACTGGAAGGGCTTAGAGTCGTCAGATGTAGTAGGTGATGTCAGTTAGAAAATGAAAAATAAAAATCTGTTTTCATAATTTTTCCTTTGCTGGAACCCAGATGTAAGGCCCAGACTGTTCCTCTATGATCTGTTTCACTTGGTTGTAGATTTCTTCCAGTGTGTCTCCTTGGACAATAGCTGCAAAACATAATGTGGCAATCAGCAATCATCCTTCTCAGCTCCATACAGAAATCAAGACGTTCCAAGCCAAGCTGTTCTTTTTTCTCAGAGCGGCAAGAGAATTTCAGATTGCTGAAGGAACGGACACCCACAGGGATTTCTGGTTTCTGGGCTGGAGTGAATGGTTGTTGATGGTATTGCAGGACACACAAAGCACCATCTCTCCTACTCAGAGGCTTGGGATTACGAAGTGTTTTTTCCTTTACTGCAAGTATACGCATACAACTGAGGAGTGTTTTTTGCATTTCCTAACCATGTTAGGAGTCGATTCGCATCCTCCAGTATTCTATTTGGTCCAACTTTCATGTGTTTCCAACACAACAAGGCAAAACAGAGTACCGGGCTGTCCCCTCATGCAGTCAGTCTGAGGCCTGGCTCAGTGTAATGCAGACTAGTGAACTCCTCAGCTGGATCCTGAAACTTCATAGCAAGGATCCTGAAACTTCATAGCAATCCCATACCTTGGGATTTCTACCTACTAGCACTAGCTTTGCTTTTGGCCAAAACAAGGAGGAACTCATGGAGTTTGTTGCCCAGCCAATAGATTCAAGTTTTATAGACAACAGGCCTCCTTATATAGTTAAAAATGCAATTTATATTCAGATGGTGTAAGTTAGATATATTTTCTCCAAGGCTAGAAAATAATTAGAAAGGAGCCAATATGGATGTGTTCTGACATATCAGAGTAAAGTACGGTCTGGTGAGAATGAGGATGAAGTATGAGTTGTTCTTACCACACTTCAGTCTGAAAATGCAATCACCATGAGACAGCAGCTTCTTTTTAATTAGGATTGCCACCTCAGTGTTGATAATCCAAGAAACAAAATTTAGCATGAAAGATAATTTTGGAGGCAGGTCAGACTCACTCTTTTGTGCATTAATATATTACTGCTGCTTCCAAGCATTGCTTTCATGCAAATTACTTCCTTTTTATTCCTACTCATCATTCCCATCTCTTAAAAACTATCTCCCCATCTGCAGCCCATTGTCACAGGGCCTGTGGGAGGAGGAGGCTGTTCAATTATTACAGCTCAAGTGTAATGTTCACAGCACAAGAGTCCGTTAGAAAGATTCAGAAATGTCTTTGCAATGCAAATAGCCATAAGCTCCAGCATCTTACTTCTCTCCAGCTATATTTAACCACACCTCTTCCAAAGCTCAGTACCCTCAAAACAGAAGATGGATGTGCTCTTCATGTGCTTCAGTGCAAAGTTTAAGTCTATTTAAACTCAACCTGCTGATGAAGTTGATTTCCGTTACCCCACACGATGTGGTATTTTTTAACAGATTAGGGAATGCTCACACATCCTGTTTTACCACCTGACTCATGGGTGGCAGCCTCCAAATAAGCAGTTAAGTGGGATCTGTAACATCTTCAAGTATCTCAAACAGATTCAGAAAAGGATTTCTGGCCTGAACTGGATTATCAAGGACAGAAGTCTGACAACGGCTCTCTCTCTCAACAAGCCTTATACTTCTGAGAAGAAACACGCACCTGAGCACTAGAGCTCTTAAAAAGGCCCATGGGTTTTTGAAACATCTTGAGTTATGTCCCTTGGTTTCCTGAAAAAGTGTCCTATATAATGCCCTGAGAGAAACTGGGAGAATACCAGCTACTAAATAAATATTTAATTGATTTCTATTAAAATAAACTCATTCATTTCCTGAACAATAAACCTGGCACATTTGCAAGTCATTTGGTAAGGGACTCTATAGTATGAAGAATTTGCAATGTATGTTGAGAGTCCCATAACTTTCTGGGTGCAGACAAACAGCTATGGGAAGAGTGGGAGAACTAGATACAGTACTGGGATAAACTGACAGCTGCGAGGTAGCAGAGAGGGAGGGAGGCAGACAAAAAGGGATGGACTCAAGCTGTTCATTGTGTGGGTAGCATACAATGTGGAGAACAGGGCAGCAGGAAGACTGGGGCAGGGAGCCTACTGGTTCCTCTGTCTTCCTCCCATGTGAAGCCACCACCCCTTCCTGTGCCTCTGCCCAGGCGGAGCAGACTGCTGTAGTCACAGCTCTGTCCACATAAGATGTGGAAGAATGAACTGGGCAAAGGAGTCATGTCACAGAAAGGAGGTGAATGGGGCAGCAAACACTGAAACACTGCAAAAGAGCAAGTGTCTATCTAGGACAGGAATAGAGAAGGCTCTTTTCTGTCCTCCCGAAAAACCTGATTTGATCAATCTCCTCCTACTGCAAGCCACAATGCAAACAATTAGCACAGCTTGAGCGCTTGCAGCCCATCCCTTGCTGTGACAGTTAGGTCCATGGCATACACAAATTTGATTTGCCATAATGCTGTGGTGTCCAATTTCCAGAGGCTTAATTAATTACCATCATTCTTTACTTCCTGCTTTTAAAAAAAATGGAAATTAATCATTTTCTACAGGGAGCTTTGCTGGGCAATCTCAGCTCTGCAAATGAAAAGCTTTAAGCGTACAATATATCAAAAAGCAAACATCTGCATTACAACACCTAGGAAAATGGTAGAAAGTCTTACAGTTTTTAAAACCTAAATTAAGCTCCCAGTAAATTTTTTTATATATTGAATTAATTGATCAAATTGAAATCAGTGTAGAGGTACTAAGATGGCTCTATGCCTCAAAACAATCACAGATTAGCCAGAAAACAAAGTTCAGCCTTACGTCAGCAGTGAGGCAATTACTATTTTACAGCAAGCAATAAAGTTTCAACTCTGGCAAGGGAAGAGTCCCACGTAAAACACACCTGTGAAGTGTTCAGTAAATTCTTGCTCCAGTTTCATGGCTCTCTCAAATGTCTTCCTGGCTTGCTCTTCCGTTAAGCGTTTATTCATTTCCCTGAAATTGAACAAATTATACCTTTAAAAACTACTATAAAATACTTGGAGTCTTTTGAAGTAAGGTTTTAAACTGTTGTTTGAGTATTAACCTTAATAAGAGGCAGTCTCCTAAATGACACACCTAAGCAAAGACTGTAGTGGGAATGAGCTGTTCTGACACGATATTGCATGGAATTTAGCACAATGACATTTGTTCTCAAGCACTTTAATTTGGATTAAAAGTCCCTTCTAAAAGCCCCTAGAAATTAAACTTAGGAAATTAAATATTGTTTAAAATGCAAATATTACAATTGTCTTCGCATAACTTGCAGCTGGCTTTTCAAATACAATGACAGTCTCAAGCAATTTAGCCTGAGGTACTTCACTTTTACTTACATGATATTTTCCACTGCTTTGGGTTTAATAAAAATGGAGATTGGGTACAGCTGGGCAATCTGCAACCTTTTGATCGCATTACCAGAAACATCAAGAATGCAATGTTTACCCTAAAAAGTGAGAGAGAAGGGAAAACGGCACTAAGCAAAGTTTAAGTCACAGGTATGCATAGCTAATAATTCAGAAGAGAAAACATGTCTCCACTGAAGCCAACAAAAGTAGAGCATTTGCATCAATGATATTATGATTTCACCACTTTGGCAGAAGGTCCCACAATGCTCCTCTGGTGGGATCATACATCATTTGAGATGTTCCTGACCCTTCTTCCTTCCTCCCTCCACCAGATGTTGCAGCCCAATCGACAATGCAGAATCATCCAGTGCACCAGCTGTACTTCAACCACACCACCAAAATGTTTGTTTTTTTTTTTTTTTAAATAATTTGAGGATCCTTTGGAGGTGGCCATGTCACAGATGCAGTTTAGAGAAGAGCCAGATGACCTAACTGGCATACCTGAGGAAGTGACCACCTCTGATGGCAGGGAAATATGCCACCATCAGAATTGTTAGATGGAACCGAATATGAGCACTCTCCTCCCCCCAGGTACCACACAATAGAATGCCAAGTTTGAGATGGTAAATGCAATTTATTTAGGCTGATTTTTTTTTTTTTAATCTCTTGAGAAACAAATATAACCTAACTGTTCCTTGGGCAGTTGGAAGACAATGTGGCAGGGCTTCTTTTCTCCCCACCTCTATTCTCCTATTATAAGCAATTTTCCAGCTCTTTGGGATATCTCATCTCAAAGGGTCTTCTGTTTCTCAGCTCCTCTCATCTCTGATACACTCATTTCCACCTCACATGTTTTTATTTCTTTCCTTTCTGAGTAGCATATGAGTAATTTAGCATACCACCATTTTAGAAAGGGATGGGGGGAGAGGAAGAGAAAAACACTGTCAGGTGACTAAAATAAGAAAAGCTTTTTCTTTAGCAGGAGACCAATGTGAATGGCAGAATTCTGTGAGCCAGGGTACAAACCCACAAGCACCATAAAACCAAAGGCTACTCATATCATACAACACGCTTCCTGAACTCCTGGGAGATCATTCCAGGAGGGCCCGTTGAAGAGCAAGGAAGTGACTGCAGTCTGAAATGACTGACACGTTTCTGCTTCCTGGCAGATGAGATCCCTAGGATCATTTACATTTGATCTCTTGCACAACGAAACCATGGAATTTTATGTCAGGAATTCTTAAAGGGGACAGAAGTGTTCTTCCCACATGAACAATACATATCTACTAGCTTTCAACTGATGATAGCTGTTTTCCAGATCCAGTCCATAGATCTGGATGCTGACTGGTATAATTTAAGAAAAGTGTTTGTATGTTCTAGCAGAGTGTTTTACTACATGTGCTGACCTACCCACATCTTTCAAATAGTTTCTCTTTAAATGTGGCACATGCTCTGGGAATAGAGAATTAAGAGCATTACCTGGTCCATTTTCCTCTTTGGGATAAGACACTTGGTATTTGCTGTGTTTGGCCCAACAATTTATGCCAGGTGCCAAAGGATGTTGAGCAAAGGATGGAGGTGATTGCCAGCACAGTAGCTGTACGGAACCTTATGGAATGTAACTGTAACAGTTTATTCCAAATCAATAATGAATGTGCATTAGCAGTGGCCTCAGACACAGAGATTTGCAAGCTGCTAGTGATTCCAAAGAGGATATGAAAATTCCTTTCAAGTGAAGATTTGGAAGACAAGGAAAAGAAACACAAGTACTTCACGATATAATTATCATGTTTTCATCCAGGGAAGCTGTTTTGCTCTTTGCACAGTGCATTTAAACAACGTTTAGTATTATTTTTTAGGTTCTTATTTGCACTGCATCTGATTGAGCAACACAGCACAGCACTCAGTGCCCTTTACATTAACTGAACAATGACATCAAAAAGCATCTTTAGCTGTGTCCATTATAGGTTAGGAAATGAGAGAGATAGGGATCAGCTGGAAGCAGGGGCAAATGACCTCAATTTAAAGCTATTGCAAGAATACTATTTCTGAATCTTTTGGTGTAGTAGCAGTCACTTCTGTTGTGTCTGCCCCTAAATTCATAATAGAAAACTTGGAAATCATCTTTTGTACCCCAGTAATAAGACCCACTGAAGAGACTCATCTCTTAAGTGAGATGGAGAGGACTACAAGGAAGGAGTAGACCCAGATCAACCAGTCTGCAGCCCTGTCACGATTTTGAAGTCCAGTTCTGAAGGACAGGCCATTGTTTCCCAGAAAAATAACGTTAGCTGTAACCGAGAAATTGCTGCATCTACCCGAAGTCCCATGGTGCCCGTGCAAGAGATTTAATAGCATGGAGACATCTGGTAGTACTTTGTTCTTCGTGTTGGTTTATAAAAGATGCACCATCATTTTGTACCTTACTAGTCCCACTAGATGGGCAAAAGAACACAGCCAATTTCAAGACTAGGATGGAAATGAAGGATTTCACAACTTCGTTCAGCCTCCCATACAAAGTACTGTTTGTTTACTTTAACAATTTTGTAATTAATTTTATTTTCTTTACTTTTCTTGCTATATACCATGGGTCCAGGTTCTATTCCATAGGGTGAGAAAGACAGCAAAAGAAAACTCCATCACATGAACCACAGAATCTCACCATGTTCGCCCTGGTTTTGATTCCAGTAAATTACAGTTGCCAGAATGGTCTATGCTGTTTTCCAGAGGACTGACTACACTCCTGTGTCACACGTGTTAACCACACTTACCCTCTGCATGTCCAGACTGAAAGTGCTCACACTTGCGAGTTCCCACCTAGAAAATAGCTGTTTCTTCTCTCATACAGATAACATTGCCTACTGTAAATGCACCATATTTGTAAACAGTAGAACAACACTCGTCAACCTAACGTGCAACATTTGCAAAGAATTTTCACAGAAAAATTTTCTTTAAAACAAGCATCTTACTCTAAGAAACACACTTCCTTCTTCCCACTCTTTTTCAGAGAGCTCAAGTAAACTTCACTTTGAATTTAGCAATATTTAGATTTTGCAAGAAATAGTTAATTGAAGTCTGTTCAAGATAAAACCAGTAAAGTCAGTCTTCAAAATGTAGTGCTAGTTATGTAAAATATCTTTCTAAAACTGAGTTTATCACATTCACTCTTTTCCCTTTGTCAGCTAAATCCATGAAGGGCACAAAGAATAACAATTTTAGAAGCTTTCTTCTGCATAGGTCTTTATCAAACAGATCATTGTATTAATCGACTCCACCACCACTATTTTTAATTAGTTATTGATCTATGTATGTGAGCTAGGCTAATTAGCCCATAATTCCAATTATTTCTTCTCTATTTTCTTTTTATAAAACGGCACAAGCTATGGTTGCTCTTTTCCTCTAATTTAATCACGATGCTTTCATTATTCCAAAACTTCATTATTTCCCTAAATGCATTTGTGACAATGCACTTTGTTTCTAGTTTTGTACAAATTCCTTTCAAAAGTCAGAGGGTTCCTAATGGCTTCTTGCCATTCTTCTCTTTTCCCCTGTCAGCACAATCAGATAATCACCTCAGTAAATGAAAGTAACTGGCACTGATTTACCTTTTCTGCTACTTCTCGCACTGATTGGACACTTGTTCCATAAAGATGATTATTGTACTGGCCAGCTTCAATGAATTTGTGATCCTGAATATCCTTCTCCATTTGCTCTCGAGAAGTGACAAAATGGTAATCACGTCCATCCACCTCATAATCTCGTTTTGGTCTAGTAGTATCTTTAAATATAAACCAGTAATTTTTAAAGCAAAACAAAAAACAGTGACTTTTTTCCCTACCATATCCAAAAATAGTCTCCCATTTATACTGCAAAATTGTCACAAGCAATGAGATGACTGACAACTAAGACAGCTCTATGAAGTGTAGACAATATATTAACTTTTTTTAACTCAACATACAGAGGATGTCTATTAAGAAAATTAACACAAAAAGTCATTTAGAATTGCTCTAGTATTTGCTGAGACTTACGTGGAACACACGAGCCAAATTTGTCTGGAAATTCTGAGATCAGATCATCATTTATTCTGTCTTTCATGGGTCCCAAAACAATCACAGGTCGAGTGTAACTGACTATTAAACATAAAGGAATAACGTCAGTTACATTTCAGCATGATTGTTTTCTTTTAACAGTTCAGCAAAATAAGCTTTATCACATGGTAATGGTTTTAATACCTAAACGAGCATGTACTCCTAAAGAGAAGAAAAACATGTTGAAAAATGTATATCAGTTAATACCATAGTCACAGTAAGATGTTAGATCTTCACTCTCAAGTTACTATCCTGGGGGATCAAAGATGTTTTAAATTACGAAGTCTTTGGGGGAAAAAAAAAAAAAAAAAAATCTTTTCACAAAGTAACATCCTTCATTCTAATGAAAACAGCAAAAGAAGGAAGTTTTAAAATCTTTTCACTTCAAAGAGGCACCTAAGCAGTAGCAGAGTTTGTGAAATTCTAGTTCTGTGTTAGGAGAAGCTGCTGCTTTTCCTCTAAGACTACAACTTAAATACTCATATATGAAAAGACACAACTATATATAGCTTCTGTAACTACTAAAACTCTTATAAAATGAAGTATAGCATCTTTTAAAAGCAGCTTAGTTTTTTATAAGGTTATAAAGGGCTTTTGGTTGGAAACTAAGTTCAAGCAGAAAATATCTGATTATATGGCAAGAACCATGAAGACAATAGTCACAGAACCATAGAATGCTTTGGGATGGAAGGAACCTTTAAAGGCCATCTAGTCCATCCCCCCTGCAATGGGCAGGGACATCTACAACTAGATTAGGTTGCTCAGAGCCCCGTCCAGCCTGGCCTTGAATGTTTCCAAGGATGGGGCATCTACCACCTCTCTGGGCAACCTGTTCCAGTGTTTCACCACCCTCGTCATGAAAAATTTCTTCCTTGTGTTTAGTCTAAATCTACCCTCCTTTAGTTTAAAACCATTACCCCTTGTGCTGTCGCAGCAGGCCTTACTAAAAAGGCTATCCCCATCTTTCTTGTAGGCCCCCTTTAAGTACCGAAAGGCCGCAATAAGGTCTCCCCGGCGCCTTCTCTTCTCCAGGCTGAACAACCCCAGCTCTTTCAGCCTTTCCTCATAGCAGAGGTGTTCCAGCCCTCTGATCATTTTTGTGGCCCTCCTCTGGACCCGCTCCAACAGGTCCGTGTCCTTCCTGTGCTGAGGACTCCAGAGCTGGACACAGTACTCCAGGTGGGGTCTAATGTCTAAGTATCTTGGCATTAGCATATAATTCAGCTGTATAACTTCTAGTTTTAGGTTCAGTCTGTCTTTCCTGCACAAAAAAAGTCCAAATTAAATAAAGTCTGACCTATAAAATACATTTTAACTTGACTCTCAGAACTATTTCCTTTCAGGGGTATTAATGTATTCATAAAAGGAATGCCTGGGATCCAGTAACTGTTAACCTATTAATTTAACAATAAACATCTTTGCCTAAAGACTAAGGGTGGCCCACTAGTGTCTCAAATCCAAGCACCTTTAAATCTATTTTGGTCATTACAGTTCTTTATTCCTCTGGGCTTCTTAAAAAAAAAAAATTACTGTGGAAGTGAATTAGTGGAAAAATGCAGATAACATATACCGTGAATATATTACTGCACTTAAACAAAGGAATGAGGTGCTGGTTCTTTTATGGCCTTCCCCATACACTATGTTAGACTCAAAGGGAATTACAGTTATGTACTCAAATACCAAAGCACTTGGCTCTCTAAAATCTTTAGTTTTACAATATGGTAGTTACTAAACCATCAGCTTGTGCAAAGCCTCGTTCACACCTCTTCTCTTCAACCTTGGTGTTAATTCACTTGGTATTACTATTGTTCTCACTAAACCATTAAGCTATCACATCTGGGAAGCTAATGCCAGCTAAAAAGATGTTTCTCATTTTGTGGGACCTTCTGGTGGGCATACACAGACCCAGCAGCTGCTTATTTGAGGGTAACAAACCTCCAGTTCCGTAGCTTAAGCATAGCTTACTTAGCACATTGAAGAGGGCCTACCCATTCCTAGCATGGTCTCAACTCATGCATTTCTCATCCATGATTTTATTTGGAGCCTACCAAAATTACAAATTATATGATATAAATAATGTAGTTTGTGTTAGTCTCGTGTAACGATTTTTACTACTTTTGGAAGCTTAATGATGAAATGGAGCCCCTATGCGACAATCAACAAGTTGGAGTGGGGTGTCTATACAGGCACGCGTGTTCCACAATGCTATTAAGAGCAACTGGGCCGTGCCGCTCACTGCATGAAACCAAAAATGAAATCCTGACACTCAAAATTCATGTAAATACATGATACGTATTTACTTCAACTGCCACCTTATTTGCTAGGTAACAGATATCAAGTATGCCTAAAAGACATCCCTTTTACAGATTAATTTACAAATATATGAGCTATGTATTAGATAATGTAAATCAGCCATTAGCACCTGTGGCAGTGAAAGGGAACACTAAAAATTCTGTATCTATTATACACAGTGAAGCAAGATCAGGACCAAGGTGAAAAGGAAATGATAGCATCCCACTGGAAATCAGTGAAAAGCATTTTATTTTAAATGCAAGTGTGAGAAAATATTTTGTCCTATCAACTTCCATTTCATTCAAATTTTTTTTTCCTGAAAAAAAATCACTTGGCAATTGTTAACCAAATTAGCCATATAAGAAGCCCATACAGAAATGGGAGACTGCCATGTTTTAGAGACACTTCAATTAAAGCTTACTAAAATAGACAAATGATCTACTGAGACACTTTTTGCTGGGACAGTAAAAAGGAACTGCAACAGTGCGAATGCTAAAGCAATATGAAAGAGAAGAGAACTATGATTTCTGAGGTTCACTCTGACGAAACTGTTGACCATACGATATTTTCCTTATGCAATGTAAACCACACATAATAAGATATTTTAAGTAGCACACCTTTGGGTTGTGCACTAAATAATTTAGCAATTGCATTTAATAATTTATGCCTTTATGCTTTATTCATTTGAATAATGATAACAATTTCAAAAGTGAAGAAGTTTGTCATGGTGCTCAGTACATAAGGGCACATGAAGCATTCTGATAATTCAGATGATATTTATGTTATACTGAGTGAGATCTACAAACCTTCTTGTTGATTGACTGGTTCATATGACAAGACATATTCCTCTTGGCCACCTAAAATGTAAATGCAAAGACATATCAATGTATTTTTTTCTAGACAAACATATTTAAACTGAGTCATTGAATGAACTATAATGATACAGACATTCCTCAGTAATATGCATCACAATGATACTGATGAAGGACATTTTTCAAGAGCGATGAATTATAAAAATCACACAGATAAGCCAAACACAAAATTTTAAAGCATAAGAAACATACAGTATAAATAATTTCCTGGTTTATGTTAGCATGTCAAGCTGACATCAAGCACAAGAAGAATTTTAAAGCATTATTGAAATGCTCTTATACACGCTTCCCTGAACGAAATGCATGCATGCTATCATTCACTGCTAGAGGCAATGCCACCTTCATCATGAACATTCCCCACACTTTGAAGCCAGCATTTACAACAACATTTTTCTATATTTGTAGAGGGCTGACAATCATGTATGTCAAGGTGTACATATCTTCCATTAACTTTATCATGAAGTGGCATTTATATAAACACCTTCAACCACTCTGACAAAAAAAAATTATGATTGTATATACTAAATAACTGTTATTTTATTAATGAATTTTTAAAGACAAACTTGAAAACAAAGAATGCTTTTTATTGTTCTCAGCTCCAGTAAGCACATCAGCAGTGAATGAAACTAAAATAACTGAATTTTGACCTTTGACAGCTGCAGGCTTTTTAAATGTTAGTGAAAGTATCTGAAATATACCTCAGTTGCCATCTCTCTAAAAGATTATTTCTAGTCTAACAAGGTATCTCCGAGTAAGATTTCTTGCAATGGAATCACTAAAAATTAACTTCATGACAGCAAAGAATTTATAATTCTGAAGATACAAGCTCAAATTATATGACAGTACTATGAATTTTGAATAAAATACAGTCCTTCAATAACTCACTTGTGTCATTTTGGAACATTCTTTGTAGTTCATGAGCCATACTTATAACAATGCTATACCACAGGTGTATAGAAACAGATAGCAGATAAAGGCTTTTATAAATGCATATATTGCTTCTATATATCTATTCTTTATGTCATAGTAAATACCATTGATCTTTTAAATCTAAAATTCACAATTTCATTAAGAGAAATATTTCTCTTATTTGCAATAAATTTGCATTCAAACTGTACTACAGCAATACATGAATGAACATTTTCATTTTTTAAGTTATTGCAAGTGAGGAATACGTTAAGACAGACACGAAAACATGCAACCTGTATATTTTAATATATCAAGAAGTTACTCATGCAAATGGATTTTAGAAGGACAGTATATACTTTCAGAACCCTTTTTAGGCTAGGGAGAGGAATAGGGAGTCACCAGCTATTGATTCATCTATGAAAGCTCCAGCTCACATATAATTAGATACTTCTTTGAAGAAGTCATATTGCTATAAGGTCAAAAATTAGTTAAGCAAACTACTAAAGAGATAGTAACAAGTAAAAAGCATCCCCTGATTGAGGGCAAAAAGTATATATTGTCACCGCTTTTCAGTACTTTGGAAAAATGAATATTAATAGAATGAACCTTTTGAACAACCGTACTCATCTGTAATCAAGATAACTTTCATATTAGACAGCAGTAAGAAGAAATTAGAAAAATCATTTTAATAAAAAGTGCTTGGAATTACACATTCAGATAAGCAAATCCATGACATTCATAAAAATCAGGGCTTCTCCAGTAATAACGAAGTAAAAAACTAACTAGTAGTACCAATAATGAGCTTTAAACATAAATAAAGCAAGCTCTGAGAAAAACCTTGGGGCGGGGGGAAGAGAGGAAAGCAGCAAATTTATGGCGAAACAGTCATGGTTAGATAGTTTTAATGGTGTGTCAGTAAAAATGGCTAAAACTTGTCAGTTTGTCATATAGGCAAAGGCAACTTCCATACATGCTCAATTTTGTGTTATTCTCAGGGAACACGAATGCCTCCCCCAAATGGTTTCTTTTCAATTACAGTCTATGACACCGTTAGCATTGTAAGCGCTGGGGATTTTATATACATGTATAAATTCTCTCCTTGAGTGTAATCATCTGGAAGAAAAAAGGCGGATCATCACCTCTGAGAAGATCTACGGCTTCCAAACAAATATATCTGTTCATGAACCACCTTCCTTATTACCCTAACATAAATAATATCTGTTTCTGAAGTGCCCGTTATACCGTTAGCAGGCAACCAGGAGGGGATCAGTGAGCCACTCAGTGTCACACTGACTTTTACTATTCCTTCTTTCCGTATTCCTCTTCAAATCCTCAACTTTTTCATCCTCCTGCTCTGCTTTGTTCTGTGTTCCAGGTCTGGAGTGTGTGACCTTACTGAGGAGTTGTTCACTGGAAATGACCAGTGGGATTGAAGTTCTGGCTCTGGTTTAGACATTTTAAAGCATTGTAGAGCAGCATCATGCAGCATATTACCCACTGTGAACATGTAGTACTACTGTAGCTTGGGTAATAGTAAATAGTACTGTAGCTTGGGCTAGTACAAAAGCTGACTTAGTCTAGTATTTAAAAGATACTATGTCTTCAGAGAGAGAGAGAGAATGTGTATGCATGCCTAGCATGCTAATTTATCATAACTGACTTCAGCACTTAATGTGTGTTGTATGCTTTGAAAACAATTCGTACTAAGCACCCACACTTGACAAAATAGATAATTGAAAGCTGAAGCAAGGGTAAACATGTCTGCTTATTTTTTCTTTCATTAGAAGTATATGCATATTAAATCTGAGTATCAGTTGTGAAAAACTGTAGATAGTTATTGCATTATTTAACAGATTAAACAGTTTAGTTATGCTTCCAGTATTAAGCTCAACTACATATAATTATCAGCATTAAATTTACATTTAGCTTTTAATAGGTCTAGCTAGCTCACATAATTTAAAAAAAAAAATAGGAATTGATTCAAATTAAGCTGAACTAAGAAAATCATAGATCACAATAAAAATTTCCATAAAGGAGGTTTGCAATAATTCTCTCTAGTCAGTTTTTTAAAAACAAAGACACAGCAGAATTTGCAGTACCCCACCAAAAACATGAATATGGATTTCACCTGAAGGTGTCTGGGAAGTTCTATTTAACATGTAAATACCCAGAAAAGACAGACAAACACAACCAAAGAAAGAGCTACTAAACAAAGGTTCTGAATAAACAAAGAACTTAAAAACACTTACGGTAACTACTTTCACTATCGCTGGCATTAGAGGTTACATGCTCTGAAATTACAACACAACGGAAAAAAAAATAAGGAACATACACTGATGGCATGAGTCCAAAAGAAAGCAAATTGACACAAAATAATCCAGATGAAAGACAATACTGATATCAAAATGCTGAAATCAATACATACTGTATATAAAAGTTTTAAGGTACTTCTCATAGCTCTCAGGATCAAGCTCAATTTCATATGAAAGGAATGGATGTTAATAAAAACGTTAAATAGCACATCAAAATAAGATTACAAAAAGTACGCTAATTCATAGTTCACATGTAACCCTGCATTTTTTAGGTTATCACTTACGGATGAATTTTGTTGTGTAAAAACTATGGGATTATGCATTTCAATTTCTATGCAGGCAATTTATTGATTATATTAAGAGTCCTGTAGCAGAAAATACTGGACTATATTGCAGGAAATATAATGTAGCATTTTGAATAATAGACACCTTCCAATGGTATATTAAATAGTTTACTTGAAGTGCAATGCAGAATTAAGATTTGCACACTGCCCCCCGCCCCTTCCCAGTAATGCTTTAGTTTTCAAAAGCTCCTGACTTTTATTCTGGACTATCTGTATTAACTTCATGCCTTCTGCACAGTAATCAAATCAAAATATTTCAGTAGCTACAAGGTGTTTATATTGACTTTTTTAAGCTAGGTAACTGTGTTAAATATGTTTATGATAAAAATCAATGCAATTGAAGAATTTCAGGTATCAGTCTATTCTGTTCCCTGAAAATTCTACAAATCTGGTGCACAAATATGAACTTTGATATTGCTGAACTTTATTGTAAAGAATCAATTTTTATGCCACCCAATGAGTGTGTCTATAACACTAACATTCACAGGTTAAGACTGCATAAAGAAGCTTGTGGTTGACCTATACAAATTAAGTAAAATTAAATTTGACATGATGTACTTAACTGAGTGCATATGATAATACTTATTGTTGTCACGAGGAGCCTTTATAAATAGACATTAAATACAGTGCAGTTCCTCCCCTACAAGATTGAAGAGAAGGAAGCAAGGGGACTCTAGAAGTAGGAATACAGTTATGAAGCAAGTATGCTTCTAGTGATTAATAAACATTAAAAAGTTACAGTCATCATATGTAAACTAATTAACCTTTTAAAATGTTTTTGGATACAGTGAACCAATATCTTTAAACAACAAATCTCTGGCTAGACTGAACTCCCTCACTTCATTTTTGTGCAGGAAAAAAAGACCAATAGTTCCAAATCTTTGCGAGTACCAGCAATTTGTATCTACTTCCATTTCATTTTCTTGTCTCAGAAAAAGAACGTCTGCATTGGCATGGAACAGGCAAATAGTGATGTTTAAAAGCCTCGTGGCAGAACATGAAAGGGAGACATTGTCAATTCAGAATACAAGTGTTGTGATAGTTGTAATGGGCACAATTAATGAAGATGGAAAGCCCGAAATGCCAGCAAAAACCGCAGTCTTGCAGAGCCCAAGTAACAGTTTGCCTTAAGTGTGGTAAGGCAGTTTCCAAAAGTCTGACTGTGTTGAAACACACTAGAAGCCATTTGTTTTTATAACAGAATCACCTAGTAACATTTCTGGACCGCATTACATAGTTTAAACTAGGTATGATCATAAGGCCATAAAGGCTGCTTATGATCTTCTGCTCTAAACCATAAGGCCATAAAGGTTGCTAAGGTCTTTGGCTCCGGACCAAGACTTTCCTTGAAACTAGGCATTTCAGAAATGGAAAATTAATGTTATAGCTACTAGAATTTTTATTTCATGATTGAGGCCAAGTATAGAAGTACACTGCTGCTTACATGTAATTTCAGGAACACTGTGCATAACAGTTATGCGCTGGGAAGAAATGTTATCTTTAATGACCTTTTGTCACTTATTTTAGTGACTAATGTTACTATTCCATAAACACAACAATGTACATGTTTAATATCTGTGATGAAAGCAAGGTCTTGACTTTTTTTTTAATTTGTCATTTTAGTACAGTGGTGGTCTCTGTGTACACAAACAGATCTGTTCGAGTACTCAGCAACTTTTGAATCTTACTGTATTCAAGTAGTTAACATTTCTGCAGGAAATACAACTACCGCTTATGTGTCTCCTCCATTAGCTACCCCTCTACCTGGTCTAAAAGCATCATAAGAGTTCAAATAAGTCAGACAGAAAAACTCTCATGGCATTTGTTAAGCAAAGTTTTTTTGTTTGTTTTACATAGCTGTAAACATCAGTCACCTAGAGAGAGAATTGAAAACTGTAACTAGTTAAAGTGTTATGGCAATGGTGGTACTATTACTGTAAAAAGCTATAGGTTATTTTTAAATAAATAAGAACACAAAGACAAGACAAAAGTGACATAAAAAAATAATCACCAAATTTAAAAACACAATACTATTAAGGACAAACAAGTAAGTGCTGGTAAGCTTCTGAATAAAAAAAAAAAAAAAATCTAACGTGATAGTCACATGAGCTTAAAGTAACACGTTCCTGAAAGCAAAAACCCCCAGAACATTACAAACTAGAAGAAGCTTATGAAACATTTTTAGAGTCAACCTCCTTGTGCCAGTAGAGCACCAGTCTCAAAGAGATCTGTTAAAAAAAAATAGTAATTTTTCAGATGGAGGTTAAAATAACTTGGGAGTATTTTGATCACTTACTCAGGCCTTTTGATCCCATGTCGTCAGGGACCTCCTGCAGAGTAGTCCCCAGAGGGCAAGCAATAAAAAGACAATCACAAAGAAAATAATTGTCAGTAATATATAAAATTGGCGCTACGACAGGAGACAGTTCCCAGAACATCACAGGGGAAGGTAAGCCTATAGGATTTGACCTGACTGGCACATGAAGTGTAATCAGTGATGCAAACAGCAGAGAACGCAGTTTGTAGCAGACCTGGTCTGAATTAGCAAACTTATGCAACTGCTTTTTGACAAGACACTTTTTTTTTTTTTAGTGCTGGCAACACCATGAAAGTAACCTCTCTTCATTAGGAAAACCAAATTAGAATGGAATGACTTTGAAGTAACCAGTCTAAAGGGACTGAATCAAGAAGCTGGTAAGCTCCGTTATACTTTCTTCATTGCTGCGTGTTCTCCTCCAAGTCAGAAATGAAGAACCATCACTGACAGTGCTGGAAGACTTATCTCCTCCAGTTACGTACACACTGTTACTCAAGAGCATTACCCAGTTTATTCCAAACTGGGACACTCCTGGGTTAAATTTTCCTTTAACAGCAGTGTTATTGATTTTGTAGATTGGTTTGTCATTGGCACCTCAAGCTCATTAGCCTGTTGCAGCTCATGAAACTGTCTCCATGGTAACACCCTACTGCAATCTAGCAGGCCCTTCTACGTGTGCTTTGCTCTCCATCGAATGCCACATACTTACGGTCAATATCACTGGTTTCCTGCTCACTCTGGTCCTTGTTCTTGTAGAAGGGAAATTTTCGGGAAAAGAGGTTCTTTTTACGCTTGTCATTGAATGACTGCTGAAGAAGAGAAGGAGGGGCAAAACAAAGGATGTCTAATGTCTGTGTGAACAAAGGCCCAGACCAGCAGCTTTGTGGAAGCTGACTCCTATAACCACATTATGCAGTGCATATTTCAGATTAACATTATCTTCTCAGCTCATTAAAAAAAAAAAGAGATCGGGATCATGGCTTTGCTCACACCCTCTGTATTTCACATGCTTACTACTAAATTTCACAAATTTAGGCCTGCTGGGAGTATAAAAAGATGGGAAAAACTAGGCTATTAGAAGATGTCCAAACCATAATGAACTCAATTAAATCACTGATATTGTCTAATATAGGGGTTACAGTATTTTAAAAAACCACTGAGGCTTTACCCATGCTTTTGCAAACAGCTGACATCATAACAGCACACCAGAAGTATTTGCCAGTGTTACCCATTTGCAAAGGCAAAACTATAAATACTTTGGTGCCAGCTGCTAAATAACATATCATACAGTAAAGAAAAACAGAAGCTAAAAGCTGGCGTTGTACCGAATGCTTTTACAATAAAACTAAGTAACAGTGAAGTAGGAAAATAGGAAAAAAAAAAAAGTGTCTAGCTAAAATATCCAAACAATAAAAAAACGCAAAACAAATTGTATTTGTTTCAATCTTTCACAGTTGCAATTCATTGCAAGTTCACTGAAAGAAATTACTTCACTCTATGTAAGTCTGCATCCCAATACCAAGATTAACTTTCAAAAGATAGACTCATTTCATTTCCTTACTGTGGCAATTATTTTTTCAAGGGTGCATTTACAGAGAATTACCACGTGAAAACCCCTGCATGTCTGAGGATCACATTCAGCAACTTTTGACATTAACTGCTTGTGTTGCTGAACAATTTCTGCATCTCAGTTACTATGAAAATTTCTAGAGTTACCTATATAGACATATACATATCCACCCATTTGAATATAAACTATTATTGTGCTCCTTGTCTGCGTGATGGAGACCATCGATGTATTTTCGTTCATATATAGGTATGTCTACAGGTGTGAAGACATTATGTGACTACAGCACCTTTAATTTACCGTTCTAAGTCAATAAAGAAATTCAATGGATAAATAAATCAGTATTGCAATTATGCCCAGAACTAGGACTAATAGAGCTAACTTGAAGCCAGCTGAAATTTCTTTTGATCTTTAGGCATAAGTGAATCATCTGCCCAGTTTTGCGAAGACATGAAATTTGCCATGCTTTTGTCATTTGGTTTGCAGAAACTCTATTACAGGAAGGATGGCAACAGTAAGAAAACGCTGCCCAACTTGGTTTTGAGGCCCTGTGCTGCAAGGGGACTGTTTATTTCTAAGCCAAGCAGAGCCCATGTGCAGCAGGAAGTAATAAAACTTCAGCAGAACCATTTTTCAGCAGCTATTTTCAAAAAAAACAAAAATATTTTCAATTCATACATTAAAGACTCTATTAACAGCTACTTCTAAAATTTGGAGCATGTTAACTTTCAAGTAATTATCTGTCTTCAGCCAGTGTGAGTTCATCTTCCTCTATTATAGGCAATACAGTTGCAAAAACATGTATTACCTTTTCTACCAGCATTAAGTATGGAGTGAAATATAGTAACAACTGGGGGTCAAATCAGACAAAGTTTTTTCAAACAGTGGGCTATCTTCTTTGGTACAATTACAAAACTAGCATTTGGCGTTCCTAAAGAGAATGCCTATAGTGCAACACACAAGCTGCACCCTGCTGCAGTACTAACAATCCTTCTGGCCATCTGTTTTAATACAGACTTGCTTGGCAATATCAGATACTGAAACATCCAGTGATATTTTCATTACCATTGTTTAAAAAAAAAGTTTACTTGAAATTACCAGGTGTTAAAGAGGCACATGGTACCATGGGAGCACAATCAGTGACACTGAGCTCTGGAAATAGCAATACTGTGTTGAGTAGGAAATCCATAAAACATTTAATTGGCTGGCACCTGTGTTCGACTAAAATGGTCATTCCACTGTAAGAATTGGTAAATTATCAACCTGACATATGGACAAAAGAACTGGTTTGGGGCCAATCATATGCTTGCAGGAACCACAGTTGGCATGGGCAAGGTTTTAGGTTATGGTGGTCCTGACCTTCTTTGTCTGAAGTCAGCAAGTCATTGCAATTGCTTTCTCATAACCCAGAAAGATTAATGTACTCTACAAAACAAGAGCAACAAAGAAATATGCCCAGAGGAACAGATCTGGGCTGAGGATACTAAAAAATACTGTAACATGAATTTCAAAAAGTGGAAGTCTCACATCTATATGATTGGTCCATTTAGACAAGTCCTCAGTTTGGGCAAAAGAATAGGGGAAATAAAAGTAACAAACCTAAAACGGTGCAGTTTAACTGAGGTGGTGAGACTCTGCAATTTGTACAGTTAAAATAAAAGGAGTGGCTGATTTATTGTACCTCATAAAACATAATCAGGTTCTTCATTTTAGTTTTGAAAATATTTCGTAACAATATTTATTTTAACTTTCTGTACAGTAAATCTTACTGAACTAATATTAAATTTTATATACTGCATGTATAATGGTCAGAGTCAGTTCCATTGCCAAAAAAAGGGAAAATAAAAGTAATATTATACTGATTTTGCACAAAAGATTAGCCAAAAGATTATTTTTAAAAGATACCATGATTATAAAAAGCTAGAGAGAATTGCTTATTAGTTGAAAATGCATAGTAATTGTATTAAATTTTTCATAAGTCCAAGTCAAATTATAAACAGGCATCATAAGCAAGAATATATTAAAACAGAAGCAGCACAGAAAGTGAGATAAATGTGTATACGAAAGGAACAAACAAGAAAAAAATTCAACCGTTTAATTAACCAGGTTTTTTAGCTTTCCTTAAAATGAAAGGAACATGGATTTTAATGATTGCCATCACTAGGGTTATTCTTTAAGGTTTTAATGCAGAAATTTTGAAGAATTGTACAAAGTTGGTATTTCATCCTGTCCATGGAGTATTATCATATACAGACACAGGAAGACACACAGTCCATGAGGACGTGTATGGTGCAGACAACTTAACTGGGAAAAATTCACCATGACAAATACAGGAAGAATACTTTAAGGAGAAACTGTAATGTTAAAACATTTACAGCTGAAGCAAAAGATTGTGAACAGTGTAAGCGTGTTTGCAAAATGAAATGTTACTGAAGAAAAAGAACTGCAGTTCTGTATCAATGGCAAGCGTAGTTGCTTTTCCACTCAGTATTCCATGCATATCTTTGGTGCTATGCTAGTACACAGTGACTGTGCACTAACTCTGCTATTGTCAAAATGCTACTTCAAATACATCGTTAATTAAGTTAACTGTTTGCAGTTTATTGATAGACAAACTACAAGACCATGCGATTATCTTCCAAAGAACATGGTAACATTTGAAAAATTACTTAATGTAATTAAAATAATCGGAAGTATTTAAGCCATTTTCTTTATGTGATTTCTAAAAAGTGAATTCAAATTATAAAAATGATCAGGTTAAAAATTACCACATCAGTTGATAACATTTTATTCCAACACCAAAATATGAAAGTACCAAACCAGAAAAAAACTGCAAATAATCCTCAAGGCAGTACTGTAATTGTTCATCAGAAAGTAACTAGAGATACTGATTTCCTTTTAAACAAATACTTATAGAAACAACCATGACATTGTCTTTATTAATAAACTAAACTGAAACCTTTGCCGTGTAGCAGAGGGATGTACATATGGATTTGACAATCTTTAACGTATAAAGTCCTGCACTATCAGGATGAAGTATTGAGGCTTTAATACTTTATATATGTGATTTTTGAAGTTATGAAAACATTGTAACTGAAATAAATGACTAAAAGGAATCTTTGGGATCCACAATAACAACTGACTAATGTTACAGCATTAGTGCTATTAAAAAAAAAAAAATCATTATTTAAAAAATAGCTTCCTCAGGAGCTTAAAGCATGTTTCACATGTAAAAAAATTATAATATGTTATTACTTTAGAAGGCTCTTACGTCTAAAATGCATATACCTAAGTCTTGGAATTACTAGTTATATACTATCGGTAGAAATTCTGAGATTGTGATACTGTTTCTCAAATTTCAAAATGACCAAAACACTGCAAAAAAGCCTCACCCTGAAAATAAAAAAAAGAATTTGGCTGCTTTACCATTATGAAATTGCTATAATTTTGGCTACAAGCATTCCTGTTACTACTTAAGTAGCTACTACCCTAAGTAGCTACTCAGTCCCATCACATGTACTGGGACAGGGATTGCATGTCATGCAGTGAACTGCACCAAGGGACTGCCTAAAATTAAACCCAGGATTTCTTTTGGATTGGGTTATTTTTCATCTGCATTGGTTATTTTACATGATTCGAGCACAGCCACATCAGTATTTGTGCCAACAGAGAGCAGCGGTGAGAAAAAACAGCTGTGAGACGGAGATTTATTCTGGTCAGCAATAGCACTAGCCTTGAGTTTTTGTTGGCCTATACCCTTGCATGAAATTCTTTAAAGCTTCTGCATCCATAATTGTAACAAAAGTTACTTTATGCTGTCTGCGTAACTGTGTACATCGTAAAACCTCATTTTATTATAGGTACCCTTTTAAGCTCTACTTCCTTGTTTTCTATATGCATTAAAAACTTTAAAGAAAGGAACATATTACTTTTTCTGAAAATTGATAGTAAGCTCCTCCTCCCAAAAAAGGGAGTCCGGGAGCACAATTCACACTAAACGACTAAACCGCTTTATAAACAGCACTTGTAGAGCTGTTAGAAATGGCACTATTCAATACTTGATTAGTATCTACAATTCCTAGAACGTTACAGTATTACTGATAATATATATTTCTAACCTAATTGTTCAAACAATTTGCAGTTGTTTTGGCAATGGTTTACTTCTAAAGTTAGCTTTGGTGCTCAGAGTTATTTCTATTTTCTATCTTTTCACTAAAAACTGAAACTGAGTCTGTATAGATAAACCACTGAAAAATGTTACCATTCACAATGCCAGGTGTAATCAGTACTTCATTAACTCACCCCTTTATCTCCTCTTGCTTTGGAATTGAATTTCACTGTCTTTAAACGGGCTCGTTCTTTTTTCTCAACTCTACCACAAAAACACACACCAAAAAAGTTAAATCAGCAAAATTCCAGAACTTCAAGTTACTGCTTGTTACAGTGTAAGCATACAGGTGTACCTTTTGTAGTACAGATTTTTGTTGGTGATGACACCTTCAGAAAACGGGCAGCCTGCTAATGGCAGACTGTATTGGAAAAGTAGGGTATTATTTCTCAACTGATGAGCTGTTAGGGTATTGGAGTATTTTGTGATTATATAGGTTCAATAAATTGGAGGGCAAAAAGAAAAAGCATGTCACAATAAGTGAGCAGCCTCAGTTACCCTTCAATAGCAGATATTAAGACTCAGAGCACCTAATCTCTTATTTGGGTCTCTGATATGCCAGCAAACACCTTGTCTCTGTTTACTCTGGCCACCAAAGAAAGACTTTCCGCCTTCTCATACATAAATAGTGTAATGTTATTAAACCCGTAACTTGCTTACAGTGAGAACAGAGAAATGGACTTGGACCACCTTTATCAACTTCAACATGCAACTCCTAAGGCTAAATGGGATTTCAACAAACTTCTCATTGAGTTAGTCAGAATCCCATGACAGATTATTTAAAACAAACAAAAACCCCAAAAGAAAACCAAGTGGCTGATGTGGTACAGAATTAACAACAAAGAGCAAAGCATATGCAATATATGTATTAATCATATCAGATGTTTAATAGCAGATACCTCAAAGTCAATAAAATATCATGACATACCTGCGTTTGCTTGGGATAACTCCAATTTCATCACTTTCTCCATCTGGAGTTACCTGCCGTGCTTGCCACCATTCATCATCAGAAGCATTAATGACATGGAGAATATCGCCAAATTTGAAGTTCAATCCTTGACTTGGAAGGCCGCTATCTTTAGTCTTGTCATAATCAAAAAGAGCTCTAGATTGAAAAGAAAAAATTAAAGACAGCAAAGCTAAGAAAAAAGCCCAGGGGAGTATGAATAGCACAAAATATGAAGCTGCCTGTGTTGTTCACAAACGACTGCATCATTCTGACAGTTGCTTAAAAGAAGAACGTTGAATGCATTCTCTCTCATATATATACACACACACACACTAAGAATATATAGGATAGTATTCACACACACTTAGTTGTTTTAATGAATGAGAACAAACTTTGTACAGAGCAGAACTCTAGTACTTTGCAAAGGGCCTACAGAAGATGCCTCCTGCAATTCAATAACTACTCTGAACAGAGCAAGTTACATGTCAGCCTAGAGAAAAAAAAGCAAGTATTCTGTTGAAAGTTCTGTAATGTATGTTGCTTTATATCAAGTTACAAATTGAAATTATTTTATTATATAAAAAATACTGTCTTTAAAGTAAAAGTCGATTTCCTGCTCACAGGGTGGCAGGAAAAAAAAAAAAGCTTAGAAATACAATGAGAACACAACTTTCCTACGGCAGTACCCAAAGGCAAAGAACTTTATGTGCATTCTTTTGGAAAATTCCCAACCGTTTCAAGAGAATCTCATCCTTTTTTCTAAAGTAAGCCTGTTTTCGCATAATAGGCACCAGCAATACCTGAACACCAGCTGCATGGCTACAGTTTTATTAACATTCCCTTTGCCAGCAAGGTTGGTTTATGCAAGTCCACTATTATCCGTACCCACATTGATGCCTGCTTTGTACTGATTCCTTCCCCCTTCTTACTTTGAAAGCACAATTGTCTGGAAAGGAACATGGTGCACCATCCTGTGGAATTGACCTGGGGTAAAATTAATTTCTTTTCTCCCTGTTGGATCATTTTATATCTGGATCAGTTCCCTGAGGAACTGAAGAGACTTGCAGTGTGTTTCTCCCAGCGCAATCGAGGGTTTAGTGAAGATGGGGAAATGACTGATAATAGGAGCCTCTTATCAAATTCTAAGAGATACTCCTAAGATTATGCCTTATAAAGGACTCTTATTTTACATTTGAAAAAGGCGTATGAACCTCACCTATGTAAAGTGAGAAGTGCCTGTATGACACAGGCCAAAAAGTCCTCAACTTTATTTCATCTGCAAGCTTGTAAGTTTTTCAGTGATGCGCTTTCTAAATGAGACCCTATCTCGATTTAGAGGCTTGATAGCAAATCCATCTCAGCCTTAGGAAAGTAGCAACAATAGATTACAATGTGATGATTTAAAATGATGTCCTTTTCCTTGTCCAAATTCAGTTAGTTTCTTCTTCCCAAACACTAGTCTTACGTACCTTTTTCTGCTACGTTTTTAATGTCTCAGAATTTTTTTAACCCATTTAAGTAGCTGTAAGTCATAACTGTTTGCTCCAAAATGTATTTTAGCTTTGTAAATTTTGCCTTTCTAAAGCACAGCGTGTATTTCTTTGGGTTTGAACTGTATTTGCTCATAACCAATGTCAAATGGCTTACAGGGAAGAAATTCAACATTTTCTGTCAGATCAATTGATCTTCAGCATAAGGTCTACTGCAAATTCAGAGCTGATTGAGACACCATGCCTTTCTGGGGCCGTATAAAGTATCAAAAACTTTTCATAACGAGATAAAGGTTTTAGTATTTTTTTAGAAGTCTATAACAAGACAGACATTTTAAAATGGCTTCAAAATATTTACTCTCATGATACACACAAAGCCCTACAATTAAATGTGCAATACTTTTAATTTGTAAAATTTATAATAAAATTTAGGTTTCAATTTTGAAAGTGCTTGGAGGTTGAAATACCACCTTCCTTCAGCAGCTCAACCTCCACTAGAATATCTTTCAGTTAAATTCCATAACATTCTTGTGTGTTTAAAACTTGTACTTTTATCTCTGTTCAAAGCAAATACAAATGCTTGTTCAATTTTTGTTCAACAGGATAATAAATACTTGTAGTAACTGAGATATCCAGATTCTTTTTAAAAAAATCAGAATTCTTATTTTCTTTGAAATAGTCCAAATATTGCAGGACTATACACTGAACTATGCACCTAGTAGTTATTCCTCCAGATTTATTCTGCACACGTGTGTTGAAGAAGCACTATGGACAAATATCGTTTCATATCTCAAAATAAATCATAATAAATTATGTACTTTTAATGCAGATTCAAGTTGTTTACATTTTCACTGAATTAATTAAATGCATCATGAATTTTTTTTCCTGAGAATTCTTGTTAGCATTCAAGCAACGATTTCTACCAGCACTACTTTTAAATTTTAAGTTTTAGTTTGAAAATAAACTTATATGAGCAGTGAGCTGGGCCTAACAGCATTAATATGTGGTGACTGCATGAGAAAAAAAAAATACACAGGACTGAAATGGAAACACAAATGGATAAAAACCTTATATTATCAACATGCACTCTTCAAACAAGATAAATGGTTACACTGCATAGTTTGTGCACAACAAAAGGCAGGTTCACCAAATACTTTTCCTCTGAAGGAGTCACTTCAAGAAAAATAGTTTTATTGGGAAAAAAAGTCAAAGCTAATACAGATAGTTTTATAATAAGATGAATTAGGGTGTCACACAGTAGTGACAAAACTATGAGGCTAAAATTCAGAGGAACACCAGGAACTGGTAACGATCAAATAAACGAGCCAAAACGCAAACAGAATTAACAAAAATCTCTTTTGATTCCAACTGATTAACATGGCTTTTCCTGTATGCCTGGCAAGTCAACAAACGAGAACTCATTTCACAGCCAAGATGACATATTTATCTACAGACTGGTATATAAAAAATACCTCTTTTATTAACTCCCTGTATGGAGACTTTTAATACAGATTAACAATACCATGTATACATTTATTTACTGTAAGTTATAAACATTAACTTACTTAGAAAGACATCTGGTATTCCCGATCAACTGCTGCTTTGAATGCAGTCCCATGGTATTTACTCTAAAGTACTATTTAAATGAGTCATAAAAATTATTTTGCAGAGAAAGCATCAACTGCTCCCTTTTATTTCACCTTGTATTACTCAGCAACTAAACAGCACTAAAAAGGTAACTTGGTTCCTTCACTTACAAGTCTACAGAAACTGAAGCTAAGTTGCATGTTTCACAAGTGTTTATGCTTCAAAGCCAAAAATTTAACAGCTGTGTTAACAGTGCCAAATTTTCCAAATGTCTTTTTACCTAGCCGCACTCATTACTTTCACTATCACAGGCTGTTGATCAAGTTTTACTGAAGCATTTCTTTTAGGGTATTCTTGCCAAACTAAGCAATCAGGAATTCCTGCAGCAAAAGCATCTCCATGCCTTATTTCATGAAATATGAATTAATCTTACCACTTCAGAATGAATGAAGGTCAGCTTATACAGGAGGTTCTCTTTTTCTCCCTGAGTTTTTGGGAAAGCTGCCCAATTAAGCTCCTCCTGCAGGCAAGTAAAGTTTTCAGGCCTGGTGCTGATGCCAGATCCTATTTTTCAACGGACTTAGTTATAATTTCTTAAGGATTTCAAAACTGTGAAGTTTCTTCCACTTGGAGATGTAACCATTTTTTGCTCTAATCCAAGCAGGAATTGGCACCATTGTTCGAATTTGTAATGTATCATGCTGGTCAGAAAAATGCACAGAGGTAAAAGTAATTTTCAATTTTGAATTCTACACACATTGCACAGACTGAGATTTGGCGTACAAGATGAGATAAAATATGGAACAAATTTACTCCCTGTCAACGTATTATCATAGAAACCTGATACTGTGAAAGTATCTCACTTTTTCACATGTGCTTTCTGAATCTGTAGATGAAGGAGGAGAGCATATAGATGTATTTCAGATGCAAAATCAGAAACACTGCATGAAAGGATCTCTCTCCTCTCAGAATAAAGATCAAAAGAAATATAAAGCAAAAATAAGAGGCGGCCATTAAATCAGTACATCGCGGGGGGGGAGGGATTAGATGTGCAAACGAAGAGTTAGCTGATGCTGAATTGCTGTATTTGTATTGCCCTCCAAGGACTGTTTGTTATATTGCTATTCATTGTATATTGATATACATACAATTAAGAAAAAAAAATCTGCCGTTTTACTTCAAATTGTATTTTCAGGCAAACACAATTGTCTTTTCCTTAATATTACATAGCGCCGCCAAAATGCTGTTTACAGGCAGAATATTCATAAAAGATATCAAGTTTCAGTTACAGGGACACAATGATGTATCTGATTTTATTTGCTATTTTGTTACCACAATTTTGAGAAATCACCAGATTATTATTTTTAGAGTATTTTTATTTGATAGAATTGTGTTTGAATGCCTATAAACATTTTACTGTTGGATTTACCATCCAATTCAGCATTACGGTACATAACTGGAATCCTTTAAGGCATATCCCAAACCAAATATTACAGAAAAATGATAGCTTCAGTTACTAAAATTGGCTTTGAATTGGTACAATTAAAAGTACAGAATGATCATACCAGAGTGACTTATAAAAAGGAATAAACTGGATAACTAACATGTTCTGTCAGTATCTAGCAATATGTGAAAAGATTCATAAAACTTACTTCAGTGAGGTCAAAATTACATCAGAAACCAGACAGAACAGATGTGAACCCATCCTGTGCATACCAAGTTGCCTACCAGTCTTTGGCATCTTTTGGTGTGGTGACAAGAGTAGATCTCAAAAGCCCTAGCAGCACCCTCTGTTAAGAGATGTGGGTGGAAAAGCAGTTTTTCCGAGGAATCTCTGCATTTTAGATTTTTGTTCTAACTTATAACAAAGCTGATTCCAAGAAAGGTTTTTGAGAAAGGTAAAGGGAATCACCAGTCTCCACGAGGCTTCTGCCAACAACCTGGAGAAGGCTGCATTTTTGCAGCAGCTGGCAAAGTCAAAAGCTCAACCTCAATCATTTACAGATAACAACTTCCATCAGTGGAATAAAAGCTACATAAACACAAAATGCCTGTCAGTGGCTTAAAATACCAGACCAATGTGTGAACATGAGCATAAACCATTGAGAATCTAATCAGGCTATAGCTAACCAAGCAAAATAAAAGCATTCAGAATTGTTTAGGCTTAGTTATATGATGAGGGCTAAAGCGATACATCATGGGATTATGGAAAGGAAGATGACCTCACTACAATATCCATATATACACCTACCTGTGGAAATTCAAAGATATGGATAACTGTCATATCAAGCACTTATCCTTAGTATTTGAGGCATTTATCCTTAGAGATATAAATTTTGACCCCCAAAAATATTTAAGGCAAAGTACAAAAAAAGGAACAATATCAGCTCTGCAAAAACAGAATCCAGATAAAGCTACTAAAATAACAGGTCAAAACACAAGGGCTACATGTTATAGTCAATCTAAATAGAAGCCCTGTATGAGTAACTTGCTACATTTGTTTCAAAGCCTTCAGAAATAGGTTGCAAAGGACTGAGACTTTGCTGAGCGTAGATGCAATTACTCAGGTAACTGCTTGTGTACGACTTGCTTCCTTTCCCATTGCTCAATATATACAGCACCAAGAACAAAACAGTATCTGCTTTGGATGGGAAAAGGCAATGGCACCTGAGCCTAGGATTTTAGCAGGTAAGCCAGTCAGGTCCTACAACATTTTAAACCAAGTTTAACCCAAGCACCAGCACTACTGAAGTCTTACCTGCTCTACTAAAATGTTCTGGCCCTGCCAAGAGGCTACTGCTGGCCCTTGTTCAATCCAGAGATGAGCTGGTTCGGGGAACTCAAAAATCAATTTATTTTAAAAAATGCAATCCTTTTACCCACATTCCGTACTTGAAACGTTATGCTTTATCAGTATATGATAACTGATGTAGGAGTTAGTTGGCCCATTAATGAGGTGCACCTGGCCACAGTTTCCTGGTGAAGCCACCTATTTTCTTAACTGCTTCATGCTCTTTTATATTTCCACTTCCTTTTAGCCTCCTTTATGTTTAATTCTATATGGATAAATTAACGAAGAATATTCAGTTCATTTGCTTTGATGCATTTGCTCTCCTGGTTGCCATGGAAAATATTCTATAACAAAATGGTACTGGATATAGAAATAAGATTTCTTAATGCAAGCTGAGAACACAACTAAAGTAAGCTGAAGGAAATAAGCTGGAAATCTGTCAAAGCTTAAGTAAAGGGAGACTATAAATTTGAACTCAAGAACTGAACAAGGGAGAATATCAAGACTACTGTCACAAGAAACACAAACTGAATTAAGCAAGTTAAGACTTCACATACGCTGACTTAAAGAACAAATGTGTGGTATTGCTGAAGGATTATCATCTGAGAGGCAGGACAGAAAGCAAGTAATAGCACCACTCTTCAAAGTTCATACAGGGTTCTCAGAGCTAGTACACCTTTTTGAGCTATATTACATTAATCAATCTAAATTAAGCTTTATTTTTAATATATTTGGCACAAAATATCAATTTGTTAAGTTCAAAATGCAAATACAGAAATACTAAGTCTACAGAAAAACACACTAGCGATACCATGAAAAAGATGATTACCTGACATATAGGGATCTCTTCTGGCTGGTTCGCAAAGATCCAGATCCTGAACTAATGCTACTGTTCATCATCTGTTCCCGTAAATCATGTATTTTAGCTTCAAAACGACTGTATTCTGTAAGAAAGGGAGGCACCGCAATTAATTTCCTCTGAACTTCAGCAGTTACTCACAAAAATGCTGAAAAATCTCAGAGAATAAGCATTTGCTACAGCTTTTTTAATACAAGAAAAACTCTCAAACTCCAACATTTTTATTAAGCACTATGTTTTGTAATTAAAAGGTACGTGAAGTTTTACATTTATCAATATTAACCAAAATAAAATTTAAAATAATTGTGATTAGGCAAAGCAAATAAACAAGAGCAAATATCGATTATACTTAAAAATTTCATGTTTTTAATCTACAGTTCACAGTAACTATTTTTTCCTAATTAGAACAAGCATTTCTACTAACAATTATCATTTTTATAGATATAAAAAGACTGACACAGACAAGTTTTAACCCATGACAAAAAGAAAACTTCAGAACATATATCTGAAATACATATGCTTATAATCAAGAACTATATATTTTAAATCTTAAATGTTAAGAAATGGGAAAGAAAAGTGTCTGAAAAACCAATATGGAACAGAGACTTTAAAATTACTAGACTTGAATTAGATAAAGAATTTAACGCTACAAGGTGGGAAATATACAAAACATTTTCTGACTAAGACAATGTTCTCATGGGAGCTCAAGAAAGAAAAAAAAAAAAATCCAGAATTCTGGCATGAATCTCGATCCACTTATAAACAGCATTAGAGATTCAAACTCCCTCTATAGAATTATGTACAATGTTAATCCTGGAAAAACGGATTGTGTTCCTCAGCAGCACTGTGTACTAATAAAACTAAGCTAAATGCATTTGATTTTAGATACAAAGGCAGGCAGTAAAATAGTAATAGCTTCTTCAGGACAAACATTTCCTGAAGTGAGGTACTTACATGCCGTCAGCATAAAATATGAACTCAAAACAAGTAAGTTTTTCCTTCAGTTGAAAACTTTAGACTTCAGGATCAACAGACCCACTTGTAAAACCTTTCTAGTTAAAGGAAACATTCTGCAGCCACCACCTTTGCCAGGAGACCACGTGATGCCAGATTATAACAAGTCAACGCTGGGAGAGCCAGGGTGTGTGCAGCAAGCAGCTGCTGCACCGGGTAATGCGCTGCTCTTCCTAGCTGCACCCTCATTCCCCGCGGGCATCAAGTTTACTCAGCAAATGCAAGACTGATAAAGAGGGCTCTGAAATGCAAAAATCTTGAGGAAATCTCTAAACTAAGGTTCCTTCAACAGTGATCTAAATACCATGAACGATTTATCATATTACATTCTGCAGCACTTTCTCCCCACACACTCATCAGACAGGGAGCGCCAAGGCTTACAGACTAACCAGAGAAGAAAAAAAAAAAATTAAGTTACAGAAGAATATTCTGTGAACCAGTTTCTGGTATATCACTTCATTCATCAAGGTAACTATAAATCTGATGCTTTAGCAATAGCAACTATAATTAACCCTATCCAGATTATGACAATATGAACAAGCTCCTAAATAATCCTGACTTGTCCTTTAAAACCAAAAGCTAATATATTTTAAGATAATATCTCAGTTTTTAAAACAGCATCAAGTGCCGTTTTACAAATAAAGTCCAGATCAAATAATTTACCAGCACTAAATCAGACTGATGAGGTTGTTTGACGAGAAACAAAAACATTATTTCTACCACTACCAATGCTATCACTAGCAGCAAAAGAATTTAAGATGACAGGATGGTAACCCAAGAGAAATGTGAAAAAAAAGACATTTTTTTAAAAAGCAATATCCCTCAGGGGAAGGACCCAGATGCAGAGAGAGGACAGTCTGCTCCTGCTGTGCTACTGCTGCACTGCATGGCCTTGGGCAAGTCACCTCATTTTACTCATTTATTCCTGAGAATAGGTCTTTTAAGCCTCTCACCTGTTTCTTGGGTGCTCTGGAAGATTAAAGCTCTAAATTTCAAACATACTACAAGAACGGTAGCTGAGATTTCTGACATAAGAGATTTTTCTGTGCCCTCTCTGTGAAAGGAAAGTAAGCATGGAAAAGACCAGATAATCCAAGCATTTTCTACTGAAAATATCTGCAGTTCTTTGCAATAGCTACTGAACAAGACTAAAAATTTCTGTTAAGAAAGTATGATGTGTCATCTGTTGGAAGAATCAGATTTCCTCCTATGTAGCATGTAGTATGTAAGAGAGTTAACAGGGGAGGCTATTCCTTACTATTGCATAACTCTATATCATCTTCAGGTTACTCGTCTTGCAGTTTTCTGCAGTTAATTTAATTTTTCTCATCAGAACTCCTGGGAAGTAAGTGCTGAATGAGTGACAGGGACATCTGTAGGAGTAAGAAGGAGAATAATTTCTACATAGAGGCTCCTGCCATACCAATAAAGAAAAAAAAAAAGGAAACTAATGGGCTGGGACTGTGAAGGCTCTATGTTCAAAAAGAAGGGGTGCCAAGAGATGTCATATTTAGGAAAAGCTTAAACACTCTGTGCAGATGGAATCTGGTGAGCTCCTTTGATGTAGAGCAAGCTAAAAATTTGAGTTATATTCCTCTTACAGAAGGTTTTGCAAGGAACAGGATGGATAGAAATCTCAAAATCATTGGGTCTGGAGCTGAAAAGTAGACAGGATTTTTGTTTTGAAAAAAGAAAGCTTGGTATTAGATACGGTGTTACTGAAACTAATGCTGGAGACAGAAAATAAGACAACAGCAGGACTCTTGATAGCATCAGAAAAGCAGTATCAGTTTGGTACCCAAAGGATCAGCAGCCATCCCCTGTTGACTAATTAGGCTTGGCTCAACTTTGGCATTATAAAGCAAAGTGTGAGCTCTGCTAATCTGTCTAGGAGTGGTTATATTTCTATCTCTATGATTAAGAAGAGTTGGATATCAACTGTCTTTTGCACCTTCAATCTCTTATTAAACTGAAGAAAGCCGATGCCATCTGGTAAGTTTATGAAATGTAGAAAAGTAGTTGGAGGGTAGGAGTCAGAAGACTGGCCACAGCTGCTCCATCTTACATGTTCTACAAGAGGGGAACATCAATAGCCAACAGCTGGGAGCGAGACTGGAGACTCATACCTGAGGTGTGCGTGCATCAAATGCGATCCACACAAAGGGCAATTTTATTTGATTACAGAAGCACCAGAAAACTACCTATACACCTCTATGTTTTTAATCAATCCCTGCAGTAATACCTTACTACTTATTAAACGCAAAAAAAAAAAAAGCAATTACAGAGAAGTAGCATCAAATTTACACTAATGAAAGACTTCATATAATGGGTATACCAGACATGAGTTTGTAAGAAACCCTTTAGCTAAAGTAACATAAAAGCAGAAGTACTGGATAAAACCAAAAGCACAATCTTAGCTTACCACTTGTCTCTCACACTGACAAGAAAGCATTTAGGGATGAGAACTAGGCAAGCATAGAGCAATACCTTCCCTTCAAGTGCTCTCCCATCCTCTAGTATTTTCAATGTTTACAGAATGTCATTGTATGTTTAAATTATCTATTTCATTCAGCTTATCGTCACAAAATTCTCCCAAATGCTAGAGAACTGTTTTCCTTACAATTCCATTCTTTCTTATGGGGTATGCATAATATTACATATATGGTGTATGACAAAATTGATCATATTTTTTTCCCCTAAATCATAGCAAACAGCACAAAAAACTTCCACATGGCTAAGTGTGACAAAGCCACACAATGCACATATAGATATAAAACTTTTTAAAGTTTTATTTTGCCACTTCAACATTGCAGAAATTTGGAGCTGGAGCAGGCACAGTGAACAAGATAAAAAGGACACTCTGCTTTCTTGGTTAAGAGGAAATGAAGAGCTTGGCTGAGAAGGAATGTAATTGATCTCTGGTCAAATGTGATCGGGGTAACCAAACAGAAAGGACATAAGCTATTTAAATGAAAAAGCAAAACTGACTTTAACCCAAATGGAGTAGGCTGGTCATAGGAACTCCATCTACAAATATGCTTCCAACTTCCACAGCCACCAAAACACTGAGATTCTGAAATAGTATTTTAGTAAGAACTTCCCCCCATGAAATTAAAAGACAAAAGAAAACCACACAATCCAAACCCTCAATCCTTGCAGGCAAGAATTTGACCAGGATCTGAAACCTGATGTATACGCAACAGCAGTGAATGGGACTTAACTCAGAATCTCTTCTCGTGTTCTGACTTTTAGGAAAGCTGCTGATGCTATACATCAAATTAGAGGGTAACAGGCAGCAAGACTAACATGAAATGCAATAAAATAAGAACATAAGAATAACCTCTTGGCTAGAATTTTCTCAAAGTTTCCAGTAAGTTTAGGGGCACGGGGGGAGTGGTACCTATAACAGAGCTAGAGGAAGCACAAGCATCTGCTGCTTCAATTCATGGCATTTATCCAACAGTACCCCACCATCACCAAAGAAAAAAACCCAAAGCCTACTCTGGTTTACACATAATCAGTTGTTAAGAACATTGGATGGATACATCTGGGCTCAAGTTTAAACTTCAAAATTACACTGGATAAACAGATGGTGCAAAACTAGAATAAATCTGCTCTATTCAATGTCTGCACGTACTGCACAGCAATGAACAAAAAGGAGTGGGGGCAGAGGGGGGAAGATTAGGAAATCCTGGAAGAGTCCTCTGCTCCTGAGCTCCTAAACTGATTTTACCTAGAAAACCGTTAACGTTTTCAATGTCAATGTTTAATTTAACAGAAATCAAAACTTCAGAGAAAGGGTCTGAGCAGTGAAACTCTCCTGGACTGCCTATCTGGTGGGCAACAAGCGGACAGTGATAAACACAGATACATGGTGAATAGTCTATACAGTCAGGGGAAGAGGAGAAAAAAAAAAGAGGCTGCAATGAAAATTAATTTGGTCTGGAACACATGTTCTAGCAAATAGGGCAAAAGAACAGAAGACTACGACAAGGGATGGAAAATTCAGCAAACAGCACAGAAGGAAAAGCAACTCATGGAAGCATGGATGTGCGTACAGGGAACAGATGG